GGGTCAGCTATCAACAATGCATCAGTATAAAAATCATTCCATCACATTTTTCAAATGCACAATAACATTGCATACTGCCATGTGATGTTATTGTGCACATGTGAAATGTGATTCAATGTTTTTCATTCAGGAAGGGTGACAAGTATTGGATCAAATTTTACACATGCTCAATAACATCACATGGCAGCATCTCATGTTCACCACAGGAACTGGGAAAAGATGGAGAAAAATGGTGCTCTGGTAAACTGATGATGCTTAGCTACCTTGTCTATTGGCTCATTTCATACTTTAGGTGCCACTACTGTGATTCTGGAAAGGCAAATTGGACACAATGGCGATCCCTGAGAATCTGGAATGATGTATAATTTTCCAGGTGCTTTGAAAACAACCTCATTGACCAGAAGGATTTCCTTCTGGTCAATGAGGTATAACAACCTCATTGACTGGAAGGGATTCCTTCCGGCCGGTCAAGTGGGAGTGACAACTCCCGACTCCCCCCCCCCCCATGCTTGAGGGGTGGTTTGGGGATCTGACTCCCAAAAAATCTAAAAACAAGAAAGTGAATGTCGGCCATCCACATCCATTTGGAGGAACAACTCCCAATGTACTGTCTCCTCCCAGATGTTTATAGCCATATGTTTTGAGCTCCACACCAGGAACCCAAAACTTTCAATTCAATAGTTGGTGGAATGGTGGAAAATGGGTCTCAAAGAATGAATATGAAAAAAATAATAATCAAAAACAAGATAAAATTTGTAAAAAGTAAAAAGGAGAAAATAACAAAAACTGACAGCTCTAATATTTCTTTCAGGAAATAATAAAATCTCCAAATTAATAGTATGAGATCTGGAATGAATAATAAAAAGCAAAAATTTGGAAAAAATGACTACTTGGTGGTTTAAAAATGGTGCACAGGGGGTCATTCATCAAGAAATGTGGCATTCTGGTACTGCAATCTACTAATTTTGACTGCAGGGTGTCCACCCACCATGCTCAAACTTTTTTGGGATCACTATTTTTCATTTATAATCATTCTTTTCATGTTCCAAACTTGCCCTCTGTGTGTTCACTTTCCACTCAACCAAAAAATTAAAGTTTTCAAAAAAAAGTTGATTTTCTTTTATCTTTTTCACAAATTTTAAAATCTTGTTTTTTATTATTAGGGCCTGTACTGTAGGGTTCAATTTTCAAAAATGGGCATTTTTTCCATCCTCTACGCAAAAACTGGGAACAATTGGAGAGATCTGGTGTTGAAATTCTTCACTTCACTACAAACAATACCAGTTTTGCCCCAAGAAAAAATTACCAGTTGTGTGGTGGAAAATAGAAAAATTTCCCCAAGGCTTTTTTACAAAATAACTCAGGAGTAAAAATTAGGCTCAAATGAGCTATTTTAGCCAAAAAATAAAAATGTCTCAAATGAGCTAAAAAATAATTTTGGAATGTTTGAGGCATTTTTATTTTTGGGCTAAAATAGCTCATTCTAGCCTAATTTTTACTACCTGAGTCATTTGGTAAAAAGGCCTTGGGGAAATTGATCTATTTTCCACCACCCAAATTGCCATTTTTTCCTGGGGCAAAACTGGTATTGTTTGTAGTGCTTCCATGCCAAAGACTAGCTTCTAGTTGTGGTTAACTTTGATAATATCAAATTTTGAGCAAGATCAATTTTGAGAAATTGAATTTTCATGTCCTATGGTACAGGCCCTTATTTTTTCATATTCATTCTTAGAAACCCATTTTCCACCATTCCACAAGCTCTTGTGACTTGAAGTTTTTGGGTTTCTGCTGTGAAGCTCAAAGCTGATGGCTATAAACATCTGGGAGGAGACTTTACATCCATTGACGGTAGTTGGGAGTTGTTGACTAAAAAAAGGGAGCCATAAAACTAGGGTCTTGGCTAATCAAATCCCAAATATGGGAGGATCAACTCCCAAATTTGGGATTCGTCAGGAGGACCGCTTGGAGACAGTCCCAGGATGTCCCCAGCCCCCAAAACCCGGCTCCCCCTAAGACTTGGGAGTCATTCCTCCCATTCCTGCGGTAGGAATTTAGAGTCAATTCCCAAATGAAAAAAAAAAATAAAAAAAAAAATAAATAAATAAAATCATTCCCCAGAAAAGTCTTCTGGGGAATGCCTTCCAAATCTTGATGGCCCTCCCAGCCATCAAGATTTGGACAGGCTCAGTGGCCGTAGGGAATCCTCCCGGCGGTTGAGTTTTGTTCCCCCTCCCACCAGCCTGTACAACTCAATGGCTGGGAGTTATCACTCTCAGCAACTGAGATTGTACAGACCTCAGCAACTGAGAGAATCCTCTTGCTGCTGAGGGTGCACAACTCTCAGAGACCAAGAGAATCCTCTGGGCTGCTGAGAGTGAACACCTCTCAGTGACTGGAGGAATCCTCCCAGTTGCTGAGAGTGTACAGCTCTAAGCAACTGGAGGAATCCTCCCAGTTGCTGAGAGTGTACAGCTCTAAGCAACTGGAGGAATAATCTCTGTTCCTGAGAGTACACCTCTCAGTGGCCAAGAGGATTCTCTTGGTTGCTGAGGTTAGTACACTCTCAGCCACTGAGAGTGATAACTCCTGGCCGTTGAGGTGTACAGGCTGTGGGAGGACCAACTTCACCAGCCGGGAGGATTCCCTCCTGCCACTGAGTGTGTCCCAATTTTTACAGCAGGAAGAGCATTTCTTAGAGATTTTCCTGGAGAAGGATTTTTTTCACTCAGGAATGACTCCCATTCCTACTGCAGGAATGGGAGGAATACTCCCAAGGCTCAGGGAGAGCCAAGGTTTTGGGGCTGAGGACATACTGGAACTGTCCCCAAGCAGTCCTCCCAACTACTCCCAAATTTGGGAGTCAATCCTCTTATCTTTGGGATCCGTTGATTTTCCAAGACCCTAAAACTAGCCCCCTTGAGTTATTGATGGAAACATTGCAAGTCAGATCGACTCTGTAATAGTAGCAATCTGACAGTGTGACTGTGCCAGTATCTGCAGCAACTGCGGGTGAGTTTCCACAAAAATGTCACTGCAAAAAATTTTGGTTTTCATCACCTGTTCATGGGCTTTGCCACTACACCATATACCTCTATACAGCACACCCTTAAATATTAGATGAGCCTAGGGTTCTGATCTGGGCCTCCAGGTTTGGTTATTGCCTTCCGAAGATCCAAACCCGACATATCCGGCTCCAACACCGGGTACCCGACGGATCTGAGCCTCCAGCCCAAACTTCACCAGACGGTTTGGGAGAGCCCAAAACTAATTTTTGATTTTGAAAAAAAAAATCTGGAAAAAGAGGGCCCAATACCCCCAAAAACCCCTAATTTCTGACATGCAGGGGGGGATTTTAGGCATATAAAGACCCAATTGGATACCAGGTAGGTCTAGAGTCATCCTTTGACCCGACCCAACCCAATATCCGGTTGGGTAGCACTGGATCTTTGGGGGCCGGATTGGAACCCTAGATGTCAGCCTTAAAGCCAGCCAGGCTGGCCAAAAGACTGCCAAAACTACCCATTTCTACTCCACATATTATCATATCTTTTTCATCTTAAGACTTTCAACTGTTCTGAATTCAGAGATGGATTCCTGGAGTAAAATTAACCCTAGTCACCACTGGTCACTTTTACTCAACCTTTCTCCTTCATTGACTTTGCAAGAATTCACAGTACCTTATGAAATATACTAGTTCTTTAGGTTTCAGCTCTTTCTACCACATGTACATGTAATCATTACATAATCCAACTTTGAAAATCCTCTCTGAGCTTGTGGATTCTGCTTCCAGAGGATTTTCAGACTCAGGCCAACACAGAACACCAACAACCAGACCCAGATCAAGCAAACACTTATCCACCAGAAGCACTTCACTTTTCCTACCTTTCCCACTACACAGTGTCATTGGTATCATTAGTAAGTCTCTTCTCATAAGTTAAGCTAGCATCTTTCTGCTTGTTTCTCTTCTCTGTCTCTCTCAGTTTCTCTTCATTCCTCATCAACCCAAAGCCCTGATCCAAGAAAGCAAGCTCTAGCTTCTACTATCTCAATTCTTCCTGTTTGGTAGTACAACTGAAAACTACATAGGTTTCCCTTTAAAGAGCCTGGATCTTTGATCTGAAAAATTGTGGTTGACCTGATTCTTCAGTGTCAATAACCCATTTCAGTTTCTGTTGATTTGGAGGCGTCAGAGTTAGCTCAGCTTATAACAGCCATCCTACTAAGGAAAGTAAGACTGTCAGCAGCCATCCATAAAGGGACAGTAAGACTGCCAGAACTTTAATCATCATCTTAAAATAAATAAAGACCAAAAAGTATTTTCATTTCTTTCACTATTCTTCTTCTCTTCCTCTTACTTTTATTTGTATTCCTCTTCTCATAAGAAATACATATAAAAGTGCCCCCCATATCTTGTGTCCTGCTGTCACTATAGAGACAGTAGACCCAGGCTCACACTAGATGAGCCACATAAATGTCCTCCTTCCAATGTCACTTGGACACTTTTGGAAGTATTCAAGTGATGCTCAGTGCACCCTGGCATCTGTTGGATGCTTTGGATGCCAAAGCATTCATTTTCTGGGACAGTTTTCTAAAAAAAACCCATCCCATGGTGTATTATAGGGTCCCTATATATAGCTGAGTAAGGCTTAGAATATTGTAGAAGGATGATCTGGTTGAGCTTGATTGAAAACTGCACCCATCTTAAGGATTGGCTAAACATGTTTTTGATTACATCTAAATAGTATACATATCTTGGGCTTCCCCAGGACACTCTGTATGAAGAATGGGCCGAGATCAGCTACAATTAATGTAAGCCATTTTTTAAGTTTCGGGCGCAGATCATCATCCAGTTTATGTACATAGTGAAACCAGGGCAACACTATAAAGTTGGCTGATGTAAGCCGAGCGAGGTGCGAGAATGACTGGCTCTATCAACCGAGCCGCCGGAGCCACTGAAACTCGACTTCCAACTTCAACCACCAAACTACATTTTCATCTACAATAAACCTGAAAAAACAAAAAAAAATCAAAACAATCGTTTAAACAACAACCGAAACGACCGACTCAGCACTATCCTTCCCACCGTCTCCTGTCTACACTGATCAGCTAGTCCACACCCCCTCCGAACAGATCTTCCTAGCATTCCCGAAGGCTGCTTACGAACCACTCGACCAGCCTTCTTCTTTTCATCGTACTCAACGTCTTCCATTAACCTAAACACGTATCTATCTGCACATATCCTCGCTCGACTTAATCTCTCGCTTTCTCCTCCACCTCACCAAAAACCACAACAAAACACACGCACAAAAAAAACACATCGCAAGAGGAAGATAGCACACATCGAACCAACGCTGACTGCAAGATAACCATCGAAAAACAAAAAACAGAAAATCAGCTGAAAACAAGAGAGAGAGAGAATGGGATTTTCGTTTGGAGATTTCGACTCGATATGCTCGTCAGCGGCGCTAATCATATGTCCGCTCATGGGCACCTCGTCATCGAATGGGAACGGCGGCGGGGGCGGAAGTAGGATGGGCATCCAACCGAACTGTTATGCGCGCAACGTCGAGCTCAACGGCACGATCCTCTTCCAGCCCGCCGTCCTGTTCATCCACATCATCGCCCTCATCATGATCCTCCTCATGATCCTCCACATCAAGTCCAAATACACCGCCGTCGGTCGCAAAGAAATCGTCCATTTCTTTTACTTCTATGCCGTCGTCACCCTCTCTTCTTTCTTCCTCGACAGTGGCATCATTCCTTCAAGTTCGAAAGTCTATCCCGTATGTCTCACTCCCTTTCCCTTTCTTTCGTCTCCTCATTCAATAATATTAAACAAATCAAATCATTCTCTTTCGAATAGTATTTCGCGGCTTTTGAGACCGGAATGTTATCGGCGACGTTCTGGTGTTTACTAGTGAACGGGTTTGTAGGCTTCCAATTTGCGGAAGACGGGACCCCGCTAAGTCTATGGGTAAGTCCTACCCCCCTCCACACACAGACCGACCCTTCAAAGAAAAAAGCAGACAAAGAGGGAAGAGAGAAAGACTAACTGCGAAACACATGGGAACACTACAAAACAGTCGTTACGAGGGAGTTGTCTAGCGGTCTTCAGTCTGACGTTTTTCATTGCGATAGCGACCTTCAACTCTCTGGCGTCATTCACGCCCTCGCAACCGACGGCGCTGTGGATAATCATGTACATATTCAACGGCGCCTGTGTGGCGATCTATGTGATCCTCCAGCTGCTGTTGGTGGTCCGGACGTTGGACGACCGTTGGCCCATCGGCGACATCCTCTTCGGCCTCGGCTTCTTCGTCGTCGGGCTCGTGCTCATCTACGGCTTCAGTCTCACCATCTGTTCCGCGATCACCCATTACGTCGACGGCCTCTTCTTCTCCCAACTGTGCTTCCTCTTATCGGTCATGATGGTCTACAAATAGTCCGTCTCCTCATTCCTCCGTCCCTCTCTCTTTTCCCTACCCCGATTCCTGACCTCTTTGCATTGTGATGATTCATAGTTGGGATTCGATCACCAAAGAAGATCTTGAGTTTTCAGTCGGCTCCAAGCAAGCAGTCTGGGAGATCAGTTCGAAAGAAGCCCTACTCTCAGGCATGGGATCCCACAGTCAAACGGGAGGCGCCAGAGAAGGTAGGGAAGGAGGAGGATTGGGCGGCGGCCAAGGGACCCCGGAGGAGGCCGACTACTACCAACACAACGGCTCGTCTGCGCAGATGTCTCCCACCCACTCTCAGTCAATCGTCCATCCTAATCATCCCGCCTTTCATGGCGGATATCCGCCTCATAATAATGGCCCTACTAAATTCTCTGGCTATTAGCTTCTTCTTCTTCTTCTTCTTCTCCCTCCCCCTTTCTCTTTTGTATCTTCTGCTTCTCATCTCAAACTCTGACTCACCCAAACAAAACTATAAAAACAAATTCCATCAGCATCTTCTTTTTGTACTACTACTTCATTTCCCCAATTTTTGAAAAAGAAAAGAAAAATAAACTCTCCTCTTTTCTGACTTGTTTCTTTGTTTCACTTTTTGTTTTCTCATACAACTGCTGACCCCAAACCCCCTAATTTATTACCAACACAACCACCTTTCCAATCCATTCTTTCCTTCCCCATTCCTTTCCCTTACTCTGTTTCTTTGATACTCTTTGCTACATCATGAATCAATCAATCAATTTTTTTTTGCTTCTTTTTATCTGATTAATTGAATATTTGCATAGAAGAAAACAGAAAGAAAAAAAAAACACAAATCCCAAGAAAAAGATGATACTGTTCATGTCCATGTTCTTGTAATAGATTGTAGATCACATTGGAGGTCTGAAGGAATACATACAGAATGTTGCAGATTCTTTCAAGCAGAGATAATCTCCAGGGACCTTGAGAAGATACACATACCATAGTACACAAGAAACCAACCCATTCAAAAAAAAACTTGTTTGTTTTTCTTGATGGGGTTAACTCTCATCACTAACTAGGGTTTAGGGGCAGCTTTGCCGCCCAGTCCCAACCACCATCCACTTCATACGACTGCCTTAAATCACGCCTATTTTACTAATACCTTTGCTTGCTTTGAGTGAAACCAGTTTGAAGCCGGGCACCCAAAAGTCAAACTTCCAAACCCAGTTGTCCAATGTACAGCTTTGGGTACAATCAGTAAGTGAAGTCCTGAAAGAGAGCAATGGTCTTTGAGATATCCAAGGAAGGAGATGGGTTGTAGGGTCTTGTCTAGACCCATCTCATCAGCCAGGATGCGGATGATCCTGGTGTGAAAAAAGTGAAATCATCCAGTTCAAGCCTTGGACGTAATAGTCTCTCATTGTACAGTGCCTAGACAGTGAAAAATGGCGTCCCATTTCTTTCTTTTCGAAGGCTGCAAGGTGCCACTTTTCAACTCCATTTTTTTTGTCACTGGGGCACAGTGGGTCAGGGAAAAAGAATATAGAAACAAATTCATTACACATCCAATCAAAAAAAAAAAAGATAAAAATTGTTGAAAAAAAAAAAAAAATTAGTTTTTTTCAATATTGATGCTAAAAATACACAAAATTGGGGGGGGGGGATGCGCTGAGAGTGGAGAAGAAAAAATATAAAAAAAAGTTAAAAATGTTTTTTTTATTTTGTCTTTTTTGCTTTTTTTATGTCTTTTTCAATTTTTTTTGTTTAATCTAAGTAACAAAAAATACGATGGAGTGTTATTCTACCATTGGGTGGAACCACCCTTTGCCTCGATGATGGCCACGATCCTATGTGGTATTGATTTGATGAGGTGGTCAAGGATGTTGTTAGGGAAGTCAGCCCAGGCTTGGTGGAGGGCCTTGTGCATTTCCAGGATGGATCCCCGCTGGTAGAGCTCTTGAATGTTACTCTTGAGGACCTTCCAGATGTTTTCAATGGGGTTGAGGTCAGGTGATTGTGCTGGCCAGTAAACTTTCTCAATTGAATACAAGTCAAGGAATTCACGGCTGAGCTTAGCGGTGTGGACCGAGGTGTTGTCCTCCATGAGGGTGAGTTTGTGGTTGGGGTCATTTTCTTCAAGGAAGGGGATCAAGGCCTTCTCATAGACGTTCTTGATGAATTGTTTGGCCTTTGTTGGCCAGGGGGGGGGGATGATTGTGAGAGGGGCACGAGTGGTTCCGAAAAACACTCCCCAGACCATTGTCGAAGTTTGACCGCTCTTGAATGTTGGAGTTAGATACTCTTTTTTATATTTATCCTTGGGCTTTCTCCAAACAAAGACCTGTCAAGAAATCTTTCCAATTTCAAAGGAGAACTTGTCTTGATCCACACAATCTTCCTCCAGTCGTCGGGGGTCCAGTCCTTGTAGTGTTTGGCAAATTGCAAGCAACATTGCTTGTGGGTTTTGGTGAGGAAAGGCTTCTTCACAGCCACCCAATTCTTGAAACCAAGATTTTAACGCAATGAGTAGGGAATTTTTGTTTGTATATAATAAGGTGTGCAGCTAAAGGATGGAAGGGTTTAGACAGTAGCGGGGGGGTGGGGGGTAGGTGTACGGTATGTTTTGAAGAGATTGTGAGCTCATTGTCTAGCAGTTTGGGTACTGATTGGAACAGCGAGTTGGTCTCAAACCTCCACCATCTTCATGCAAGGTTTTTCCTTGAGAATCCTTCCGAGCAGGTGGAGGTCAGTCTTGCTAGTCTTGGGCTGTTTGCCATATCCAGGCTGCCTTGCAACGGTCCCACAAGCAAGCGAACAAGCAATGATGGCAGATACTGTAGTTTGGCCAATGCCGGTCTGTTGGATGATCTTGGTTGGCTTCATTGTGGCCTTTGACATGCCAAAGATGATTGCGTTTTGCTTGAATGTCACCTGTGGTTTTTGCGGTCTTTGTGGCATCTGAAGAATTGAAAAAAAAGCAATGATTAGGTTCATGATGATCTAGTAGGGCAGGAGAAAAGGGAGGTGGAAGGGGATGAGGGGCTGGTGTGGGTTGATGGGAGTGAATTGGATCACATCAAGGATAGGTGATGATCATGTTGTTGAGGATGTTATTAGAATTGCCACTGGGACGGCAGAGTGGAGGGGCTGGGAGAGGATGGACGGCAGAGTGGAGGGGCTGGGAGAGGATGGACGGCAGAGTGGAGGGGCTGGGAGAGGATGGACGGCAGAGTGGAGGGGCTGGGAGAGGATGGACGGCAGAGTGGAGGGGCTGGGAGAGGATGAGGATGTTGAGTTTTGGTGATGATTGAGATGATTAGTCTGGAGTGTTTGTAGGTTATGTTGACAGTTGGATGGGTGAGAGTGATCTGGGTGGTGGAATGTAGTGATTGAGAGCAACGATGGTTGTTGATCAGTTGTAGCTGTTGTTCTTGTTGTTCTTTTTTCTCCAGTGAGATTTTGGCAAAGCTCAAGAAGCAGCTCAATCATTGTGGCGGAGTTCCAAGAAGCGGCATTCAATCAATGGACGGTCTTTAACCTAGATTCAGGGATCTGATGAGCCTCTACAGTCTCACATGGAGAGGGGTCTGGTTTAGAGATGGCGCTTGATACCCGGGTACCTGTAGCGGGTGCGGGTACCTGCCTCAAAAATCCAATATTTTTGACACCCGCACCCGCACCCGCACCTGCTAGGGCCACCAGGGGCGGGTACCCGGGTACCTGCACCGGGTACCTGCGGGTACCTGGCACATTTTTGCAGGCAAATATACCCAGAAATCTCACCCTTGAATTTCTGCATGACTTACCAAATGTATGATTGATATTCACTAGATATATGAGTAAGAACATAAAAATAAAGAAATAAAGAAGAACAAAATATCCTATCACTAATTTGCACTTTATCTTCTCTCTGATCTATCATCTTGAAGGCTGGAGGGTTCCCTCTGGCCTCAACAGGCCCATGTAAGACACCAAATGGTGTCCTACATAGTTTGCTGACACCTTTGTGCAGCCCAAAAAGCCCAAAACTGTATTCCCAGGGCGGGTGTCAGGGCGGGTGTCAAGGCGGGTACCCGGGTACCTGCCGTTTTTTGTCCCAAAACTCAACACCTGCACCCGCACCCAGCACCCGCGGGCGGGTACCCGCTCCGAAGAACAGGTACCGGGTACCCGCAAACGGGTACCCATTGCCATCTCTAGTCTGGTTGATTGACTGGGGTGGATGAAGGTAATGAGGGCTTGGGTGCAGGTGGATTGGTCGGTATAGGCGGGGAAGCACTCTGCTGGAGCTTTCTCAATTGTAGGTTCGCACAAGATTGTAATTGGGTAAGATTCCTTTTGACTATCCAAAACATGAATTACATATTTCTTAGCTCGACATCAACTCATTTTTGTAACTTGACAAGGAAATCACCGGAAGCTCACTGCAGATGTAAGGGCTTTGGATCTGTTGGATTGAGCGCCGGAGGGATTTGGTTTGACTCAGAACAAAGGGATCATTTGCATCGGACATGATTGACCTTGTCTTGGACGGTCTCTTCCTCGCTTTCAATTTTTGAGGTGATAGGACCGCATTTGATTTGAATTAGGGCAGAGAGACAAGGTCGACGGCGGTGGAGGTGCCTTGTAGGAGATGCTGGATCTGTTGGTTTAGGAGCTTGAAGACTTCTAACAACAGGTTTTGGGGGGTGGGAGAGGGGCAATGATGCGGCTCCAGTGTGGTAAGATTGATCAAACCCATAGCCATAATTAAAATCACCTTAATACACATAAATAGTGAATTAAAAAATTAGAGGAGATGGAGTAAAGTACAGAATAAATTGCATAATTACTATTGGGTTAAATCATAGTTGAATTGAATCCCAAATCAGGCCTAAAACTGACCAATTTTCTATGAGTAATAATTATACAAATAGCCTGTAGAAATATATAAAAGACACTACATCTATCTTAGACTGGTAAATCAAGCTACTGATCAGAAAGTACTTCACAGACTAGCTCTAGAAAATAACTCTTATACTAATTAGTCTAAGAATACCATTCTCATAGCAATTAATCTAAGAATAGACCTCATATAGTAGAATTACAACCTCTTGTATTAGAAGGGCACTTAGAGATTAATTCATATCAGATTAGACGATCTCAGAGTAGTAAAATCCACTCTAGAAGCACCCTTCTCAGACAAACTTGTGTTCAGGCCAAAAGCTCATGTACTGTAGAAAAATTGTCTATAAATAGAGGCTCTTCTGCCCATGTTTTCTTCCCTCCTCATGCTAGCTACAGAATAGTAATCAGAGATATTACTCAGCTTTCATCACCCCTTGATTAAGAAATCCAGATATTATTAGAGCCCTTTGAACTTCCCTTATCTCATTTTTTTGGCCATAGAAAAGTAATTCAGAAATATTGCTTAGCCATCCTCAACTCTCTTGAAACAGATATCAGAGAAATAAGTGTACCCTTTATCAGAGCCCAGAGAGTCTTATTAAGATCAGAGAACCAGAGAGAAATTATACCAGATTTAACAGAGAAACCCTTCAGAAACCCTTATTACTCAGAAAACCCCACAAACTCCTTACCTCTTCAACAGGTATTCTTAAGCAACAATAAAAGTAGTATCAACACTAACATAAATTTAGAAATAAGCCACACTCTTATTTTTCTTAGGGTAACTTTCCCGCAAGCTAGACAGGAGGGCAGTCTCACCCACGCACAGATACTAATTCTACTATTCCATAGTCTTATTAGCTATTTTATCCCCTCCAAGCTCTTTACTCACTTGCTGAGAAGTTCCACACCAGCAAGCTGGTATGTACACCAGCTCGCTGGGAGGGATTCCTCCTGACAAGAGGGTATGTACAACAGTGCAACAGAGACAATACGATACGGTATCAGGCGTTTATCTGTATCGTCTCAGAATTTGAATACCCAAAAATACCGGATTTGTTTT